GCTAGGCAAGTGGGACCAGCGGTGGCCAACAAGAATGTGACAGCCTCTTAGAATCATCTCCCAGGCTCCTGCCACCAAAGCTGGGCCTGGGAGGCCCTGGACATAAACTGGTGGAGGAGGGAGGGGAAGTTCATTTGGGGAGCACATGTGGAACATCTGTTCTGTGTGACCCTCACCTCTATGCTGTTTTCAGATCTGCTTGGCAGACAAGGAATTTGAAGCTTCAAAGTGTCAAGTGACTCCCTGTGTACTCGATGCCTGCCTGGCAGAGCCAGGGTTAGAGACTTGGGCCTGTGGAATTTTGAGGATTTTATATTTTTATTCGATTCTATATTTTTGCCAATTGTTTTCTGTCTCCTTGGTGGTATTAGGCAAAGCTGTCCTATTGGCCAGAGTCCACAAGAACCAAGGGCAGCAGGGACCAGTTCAGAAGAGGCTGTGACAAAACTGAGGCACCAATGGGTTTATCCCATAGCCATTTAGCCCAGGTCACAGCTGCACAGTAAGGACCTTGGGATGCAGAAGGGTCCCCCATAATCTCTGTGTCCCATGCAGCTATAGGGCCTGGGGCAGTATCCTACAACCTCAGTGCTACCTGGCACAGCCCAAGGTCATGATCAGAATGACCTAATTATACTGTGTAGAACAACCTCCTGCCAGGCCCTAATTTTGCCCTAGCTTCCTTCCACCTCCCCTGCCATGCCCAGCCGGACCTCCAACACAGGCCATCTCATCCTGGGGCCAGCATCTGGGCTCCATGGTTATTCAAAAGGACAGGCAGGGCTGGGGGTACAGCCCAGTGATGAAGTGATTTCTGAGCTTGTGCAAAGCTCTAGGTTCCCCAGCATGAATGGACGGATGGATGGATGGATGAACGAACAAACGAACGAATGACAGGGCTTGACCCTGTCTATGTGTTTCTCTAGTTTCTGGAGAGATGTGGAGAGATGGAAGGAGATGCAACTCCTTTCCCAGCAGGAAATGAAAGGCAGATGGTTTTGTGGCCATGATCACAGACCTCAAGCAAGCAGGGCTGGACTGAAGTCTTTTTTTTTTTTTGCGGAACTGGGAATTGAACTCAGGCCCTTGTGCATGCCAGGGAAGTGCTTATTTTACTGAGCCATTTCCCTGGCCCCAAAGTGAGATGTTTTTTTTTTTTTTTTTTTTTTTGCTTTGAATGGCTTCAGGGCAGGTTTGGCTGGCTTGAGTTGTGGGGATCGGAACCACAGCAACCTGAGCCTGACTGCTTTGTTGAAGCAACCACTTAAAACTGAGCTAAGGGGCGGGCTCCCTGGACTGAAGTCTTGGGTCTGCTGCTTCCCAGCCTTGGGCAGAGCTCTTTCCCCAGTGCAGCCACGTCCTCATCGGCACCATGGAGAACAGCAATTATTCCTGGGCATGTGAGCATGAAGCTCAAGTGAGATAGCGAGGCTACACCTGAGATAGGATATCTGGCACAAAGGGAGTGATCGTTCAATGTGGGTCTGTGTGTGTGCTGGTGGTGATGGAGGTGGTGGCGACACGAAGATGCCAGGTGAGGGCTGAGGCCCACAGAAAGGGGCCTGGCAGGAAAAGGGAGTTCTTAATTGGAGGTTTGAGGGGAATTTAATAAGGACCTTTTGCAAAGTTGAAGGTGAGGTTTAGGAGGAGCAAAACAGAGGGTATATTCCCTGGGGATAGGAAAGGTGAGGAGCCCTCACTGAAGGGCATGAGGGTGCTGGCCTACAAATCCAGCACTCTGGGAGGCTGAGCCAGGGAGATGGCGAGTTCAAGCCCAGCTTGAACTTGGGTAACCTGGCAACTCAGACCAGAGCTGGTTGAGGTAGTCACCTGGGGTCAGCCTGCTGGGGTAGGGCCTAGAGCCTGTGTCTTCTATCTCACCCTACTTAGTCACCCAGAGAAGGGAGAAAGAAATGGAGTGCAGTGGGGGGGGGCAAGGACATGACCAAGGGGCAAGGGAAGGCCGAGCCAGGGAGCTCTGGGAGAGATGTCTCCCTGAGACTTGCTGATTGAGCTGTAGGCCTCCAGGCCTGCCTCCTTCTTGGGATCCAGGCCCAGGCTTGGCAAGAGAGACAAAGCCCACTATGTCCATGCAAGCATCATCTTGCTGCCAAAGGGGCCCAGGGCAAACCCAAGAAGGAATCAAAAGCTCTCCCTCCTTGGGATCTGGCTGCAGGGCCTTGCCTCTGCCTCAGCTGGGCTCCCTAATGGTGTATTTAACCTCAGTGCTCCCTCCTGGGAGTGCTGGTAGGATCAGGGTTACCAGTTAGCTATGAGATTCATCAGTCTCTGAGATCACACTGACTCATCAGAGTTTGGGGCTGGGCTCTTTGCAGGGAGGGCAGCAAAAGTTCCTCAGAACACCTGGAGATCTTGTACAGCAATTAACCACTAAGAAGAATGTATGCAGTGTGTTAATTATTGAAACTGTCCTACCGATTTGATTTGAAACTGTCTCATTGCTATTTGTTTATCAATAAAATTATGGCAAAAAAATATTAAAATTAAACAAAAAGAACACCTGAAGATCAGGCACCTTTCGAAGGGCAGGGAAGACAGAGGGGCTGGGGCACAAGGCCTACTCACTGCGGTAGGGGAGGACAGCAGAGACACTGGAGCCAGCATCTCCAGGCTCTTCTGTCCAAGGAGATGGATACAGGAAAGAGGCAGGGAGAGTGTGGCTGCTGGTGGCTGCTGTATATGCAGGGCACCTGCATCTTGGAGCCAGGCAGCTAGGAACCAGCACCCAGATGCATTGACCTCCTCCAGGGCAGGAAACTCAGGTGCCAGGCAGGGCAGCTGGGGGCAGCCCAGCATCCTGGGAATCAGAGGGTGCAACAGGACAGAACCTGAGCTGCAGAAAGACGGGCTACCTGGTGCGGAAGCACTTTGTGGGGACTAGAGTGTTTGCACAGTCTGGGCACGGGTCCCCCTTAACTGCAGTTGGCTTTCTAGAGGCCCTAGGAGAACTCAGGCCTGGCTGGCTCCCTGCTGTCCTTTTCTAGCTCAGCCCACTTGTCCCCTCCCTGTGGAGCAGCCCCCCACCTCGTTGTCCTCATCCTCCCACTCTACCCCGCATGCCACTAGAATTTAATGGAGGACTTGTTTCTTTGCAATCATTTCTTCCACCTTTGCTGCATGCCCTAGGACTGTTCTTGCCCCATACACAGCCCTCTTTAATTACAACTTATTTTGAATGATGCAGCTGTGTCCCTGACCTACTGGGGCTGTTCCAAGACCCCCCAGGGCACCTGAAACTGCTGATTGTACCAAACCCTACCGTAATTTTTCTTACATATCCACACCTGTGGAAAAATTTTAATGTACAAGTTAGGCACAGTTAGAAATTAACGGATGTGGGGGTGATCTTGCTGTGACATCTGTCACCCCACTGACCACCAGGGTTGGATCTGGCCGACTAGGCATGTGTCCCCTTCCTCCCTCAACAATCCATGTGCGTCCCTCCCAAAGCTGCGCACTCGGTTGAAGAGGATGACCACCCCCGATAGAGGAGGACCATTCTTCGGTCAAGGGTATATGAGTAACTGCGCTCCCCTGCTAGAACCTCCAAACAAGTTCTCAAGAAATTAACAATAACTATTAATAAAATAGAATCATCATAACAATATGTTATATTAAAATTTAGATTTATTTAAAACGCAACAATTGTTATTTCTGGGCTTGGCCATTTACTATTTTCAGGTTGTACACCTTAGTTACTTTCCTCATTGCTAGGACAAAATACCCCAATATACGCAACCTAAAGGAGAATAAGGTTATTTGGCTTGTTTTAGCAGTCTCAGCCTTTGTATAGTTGGCTGGCTCCAAGCAGAACTTTCATGACTGCTGTGTGTAGTGGTGGTGCACATTTTTAATCCCAGAACTTGGGAGACTGAGGCAGGAGGAATTTTGAAAGATCAAGACTAGCCTGGGCTATAAAATGAGCTCAAGACCAGCCTGAACTTTATAGCAAGATGCTGTCTCAAATGAGACCAAAAAACCCTCGGTGAGTTCAAGGACTACTTGTACTACACAGTAAAACCCTGTCTCCAAAAAACCCCAAAGAGTCTCATGGTAGAGGGACCTGGCAGAGGAGAGCCACTCAGCATGGAGGACAAGAAGCAGAGAGATAAGGGTAGGGCCAGGGAGGGCGATGAGCCCATCCAGGCCACGCCCTTATTGACCCACCTCTTCCCATGAGGCCCCACCTTCTAACATCAAGCCAGCTATAAGCTCCCCTACTCCCACCATCCACCAAAAGCTGTACTTATGAGCATATGAGGCTCTAGAGATACATCCAGATATAAACCTCATCACCATAGTTGACTCTGGGTGACTATCAATCAAAAGACACAATAAGAGGGACTGCTCTGTGACAAACTCCCATGAACTAACCACCCAACCCAAAAAGCAGAGCATCATTAGTGATGTATTTATTTACATATCCACTCACCAATCTCTCCCCAATCTTCCAACCTGCCCTCCAAGAAGAAACCACCCTCTTGAGTAGTGTGTTTGTATTCTTTTTTTTTTTTTTTTTTTTGGAGGAACCGGGGATTGAACTCAGGCCCTTGCGTTTGCCGGGGAAGCGCTTATTCCACTGAGCCATCTCCCCGGCCCCTGTGTTTGTATTCTTAAACATGAGGAAGACCATAGGTACCCAGAGAGCCAGCATGGCTGTACATCTTTAGCAGAAGTAGTTGAGGGCAATGGTGGACCCTCTCTGCAGGAGAGGGAGCAGGGTGGGGCTGGGCACACAGTGGGAGCTTGGTACCAAGGCTGGAGTGGGTGGAGAGGATACCAGGTGACAGGCAGCAGCTCCAGGGAGACAGAAAAAGGCTTGATTCCACCCTCTGTTCCTGCACAGGGGCCCGTGTGACTTCAGCTACGATGTCACACAGTGTTGCCTGGTGACCCAGCTAGGTAGAAAAGCTCACTGTGTTTCCAGGTCCAGGAAGAAGGAGGCCAAGCTCTCTCACCTTCCTAGGGGTGCTCAGCCCCCTGCCCAACTGGCATGGCCCAGATCCCACCAGACCCCTGCACCCACAGAACCTCTCCTTGCTGAGAAAGATCCAGACGCTGCCACCTGCCCACACTCCCTTTTTCCCTGGCTTTTCTGAGCCCCGTGTTCTTGTATGGCAGTCCTGAGACCACATTGACACTGAGGTGCCCAGGCCAGCTGTTGGCGCAGGACTGACGCCTGGTCACCCTCTCCCACCACATACTGATCTTGGAGCTTGATAGGCTGGATGCACCTGCCCAGAGATGATGGGGTGGAAAAAGAGCAAGGTGAGACTGGGTACACAGACCAGGCACCCATATGAGCCCATCCCTCCTGGATAGTCCTTTGTTTTGCTTGCTCCTAAATTGTGACAAAAATATTCCTTTTGTGGGTCTGTTTCTACAGCTGTGAAATGGGGAGCAGGGTGGTCTCAGATCTTCCTTGAGCCCTGTGGGAACTGAAATGTAGTTTTCACAGTGTTGACTAGGACTGCCCTTCCCTGGTGGGTTCTGCCCCCAGATTTGGGGCTCAGAGAGCCCTCCAAAGTGGCTCATCCCCTTTAGCAGCCATGACAGTGGCCCCCATGCCCGCCAAGCACCTGCCCTGCCAGTCCCATGATCAGGTTGCCTGCTGGGACTCAGGTCCTGGAACCCTAGAAAGAAAGGATTTTGTTGTTTGGTTTTTTGGTAGGTGCTTAATAAAAAGCTTTGGCAGAGGAACAGGGCCTGCAAGAGGGGGCTAGATTCAGTGCAGTGACACGCCAATAGTTCAGCATAGGAGCTTCCTTGCCTTGTGCTAACTGGCAATGCCAAGCTGTGACAGTGTCACCCACAGGGATGGCAGGAAGAGCCAAGACCTAAGGCACACAGGTATGTGCTCCCTGAGAACACCTGGTTGCAGCTACACTCTTAGGTCAAATAAGCCAAAGATCTCGGGGTGCCCAGAGCCAGTGTGGTTTCCAGCTTTCCTACCCTCGGCTCAGATGTCCCTGCACCCTCATGTTCTCTGCCCAGATCCCACCCTCCTGCTTACACCTTCTCCTGCACTGTCACACATTCAGCACTGGGACCGTGCTGGCCAGATGGGATCCCTAAGCAGCAGCAGATTCTGGGACCCAGGGAGTGTGGAGGGCCCTGAAGAGGAGCCAGATCCATTGGATTTGTAGCTGTGGAAATATTTTAATAGCTAAGCAGAATTCTCTGTAAAAAGACATTCATAATTTATACGGTACCATATAGTCATATTTCTTCCTCTGTAAATCTCAGCCCTGTCTTTTTATTGAGTTATGTTTATAAATGTCAGTGCTCTTTGAATTAAGGATGTTAATGTTAATTCTTTTTATCTGTTGCAACTTTCCTCCCCCACTCATCTCTCTCCCTCTCTCCCTCTCTCATATTATGGTGAAATTGGGCCATTATAAAAATTAGTATGGATTTTTTAAAATGTAATCAAACAGTCAAGCCTATTGATTCTCTTTATGATTTGCATTTCATATCTTTTTTCCCCGTGTACACGCTTGGCACCTGCTCTACCACTGAGCCACGCTGCCAGCTCTGTCATCTTTCTTTTCTTTTCTTTTCTTTATTTTTTTCTTTATTTTTTTTTTTTCTGGAACCGGAGATTGGACTCAGGCCCTTGCGCTTGCCAGGCAAGTGCCTATTCTACTGAGCCATCTCCCCAGCCCCCTCTGTCATCTCTCAAGGAGGTCTCTCCTGCCCCAGATGCCACAAATTCTGCCACTGTTAATGGATCTCCAGGTCGTAGGCCTGCATGGTAGACTTTGTAGCCCAGTGGATGAGCCCCACGTCCAAAGGCACACGCAGAGGGCAGAGCAGAGGCCCCAAGACTGTGTAGCCAGCAGCTTCTGGTTCTTGCCTCAGCCCTGGCCCTACCTGCTCAGTCACACACTAGCTCAAGGCGCTGGAGTCTAATACCAAATATCCTGTGTGACAGATAGGCAATCCCAGCTCCTCTAGGAGAGCAGCTGCTGCTCCTGGCTTTCTGACAGCAAATCCACCTGTCTGAATGGGCAAGTCACCCAAATTAGCAGCTTCCGAGCCTGCCCTGTGCCAGACTGAGCAGGGTGCCGGGTGCCATATTTGGGTACTGGTGGGCTTCAGTGCTGACCTAGCCATGCCATCTGTGGGCACTGTGGCCTGGAAGAGTGACTTGCTGACTTCTGCCCCTAGTAGCATTTGGTGTGAGAGTTCAGAGCAGGCCTGAGAAGCCATTGGGAGTCCCAGCTCCACACCCAGCTAGTCGGAACTTTCAGAGGAAATGAATTTCATCCCTGGGGCTCAGCCCACTGTCTGCTGGGTTTGTGCAATCTGAGATTGAGGGGTATTTCATCAGTAGCCAGATTCACTCTGCCATGTGTGAGTCACCACGAGTACATCACTCAGTGCTGGCCAGGGTAGGGGCCAGGCAGAGGATGCTGTCCTGATGCAGGACCCCTGAGGAGGCCTGTGGAGGTAGGGAGCTTTAAGCAAGGAGAGAGCCTGGGAGCCTGGCCCGCAGTCCCCACCACAGACGTCCTCCTTGGCCTAGGCCTCCCTGGCCCTATCTCAGCCTGCCCAGTGGGTACAGTGGGCACAGACCTGCAGGCCTTGCCAGGAGACACCAGCCTGCCAGCTGGCCTCATGTCTGAGGGAAGTACGAGTCATTCTCCAAACTGTCCCTTCAGGCTGCATTCCTGGAAGGCTGTGCTCTAGACACTGAGGTTAGGGAAGGGGTGGCACAGTAACCTGGCTGGGATGCAGGGTGCCGAGATGGCCTCGGTGCTTCTGGGTCTTCACCTCTGTGACAATCAGAGAGCTCACAATAGGCCTCATGTACTCACAGCAATGGAGGTAGTCAAGGTCAGGGTGTAAGGGAGATGAGTCCCCTCTCCAGGCCACCTGCAGGAGCCATGGGCACTCCTGCGTGCTGCTGGGCAGGCAGAGTTGCAAGTGAGTCCAGGTTTTGCAGGGAGAGACAGAGGCCCAGAAAGGTGGCAAAGAGAACTGGCAGAGCCAGATGCAGCCTATAACTCTTGCTCCACAGGCTACTGGTCTTGGTCCCCAACCACCAAACCAGGAGAGCAACCTGCAGGGAGTCGTGGGAAAGCCAGGGAGGAAGTGGTCAGACTAAGGGGGAGGCATTGTCTGTGCTTGTCCCACACCAGGGGTTCCCTCTGTCTTCCCACCTGACCTGGCAGAAGAATGGGGAAGGGGACACTCATCAAAACTACTACAGATGGTGACAGCCTCACCGGGCCTGGGGTGAGGCATGTTCTCACCTCCTAATGAGGCATCTTGTTAGACAAGGACTTACATGGCAAAGCCAAAAGAAACAAAGAAATAAGCCACAGGGATGAGGGGATGACATTCCCCTCCTTCCCAGTGACATCTGGAAAGAACAGTTCAGTCAGAGGATCCAGTAGGACAAATGCTGGGAGGCAGTAGTGATGACCCAACAGGAAGTTAGGAGATGAGACAGCAATCAGGGACTCCAAGGTTGGGACTTAGAATGACCAGAAGAGTGAAGCGGCCATCACAGAGTGGGGTGACAGCAAGTAGTGTGTCAGAGAGGAGTCAAGGGGTAGCCTTTGGGGTGCTGGCTCTGGGTCGCCAAGAAACTTCAGAGGAGCTGTTGAGGGGTGCGTGGCTCCTAGGAGATCCTTGCACTCACTTTCCTGAGAACTGAATGAGGTCACATCCCTGGAGGTCCTCAGGGCTGAGCCTCTGAGTGTTTGGTCCTTGTCTTCCTGTGCCCAAGGCTTACTGGATCCGGGAGAGGGCCCTGTGTCCAGATCCCCATAGCAAGTTGGGAGAGGGTTGGGTCGAGACAGACTACTCCAAACCCTCGTGTCCACTGGGGAAACTCACTCTCAGAGCACAGTGGCTCAAGTCCCACTGTGGGGAGAGACAGAGCAGGGGACCCAGCTGTACTGACGATGCCCCTCAGTAGCCAACATCCACGGCCCTAAGAAGACTGTGGCCCCTCATCAGGTCATCAAACCAGAAGGGCAAAGGGCAGGCAGCCTCCTGCCATGGGTGGTCCAGCAAGGGTCACTCCAGGCAAGGAGTGGAGTCAGAGCCAGGCAACACTGGGAGGGGACCAGGACCCCACTTCCTTCTGTACAGGTCCTCTGAGTAGAAGGTAGATGGACACGTGAGGGGGGACACATTCCTGTCACCACCAGTCTCTACCTGACAGCCCCCTCCATCCCCATCTTTGGTGATGTGCTTTGCAAACTGCAAAGTACTGTGCATGTGACAGACCCCCAGTGAGGGTGACCAACCACTGGGACATGAGAAGCATTGAGGCTTAGAGGTGGCACTGAGGGACACATGGGGTATGGGATAGAGGCATGGAGAGAACAGCTTCAAGGGTGACGGTGCTGCAATGTGTGGCCAAGGTGACAGAGACCTGGGGAGGAATTGTGCAGGGACAGGGGGATAGAGGTTAGAGGAAAAAGCCATTCAGCCCCACTCTCCCTGCAGGTCACTGAGGGCCCGGAAGATGGCCTGAGTGTCCCCCAGAGCATACTGCCTGACATCAGCCACCTGTCTCCCTCCAACAAGGAGACCATTATGGTCACTCTGCATGGGGCTACCAACCTCCCTACATGCGCAGATGGCTCCGAGCCATTTCCCTACGTGGTGGTGTGAGTAGTGGGGAGTGGGGACAGGGGTGGTGTTGGCACTGTGAGCAGAAACCAGGGGATGGGTATTTGGAAAGGGTCCTCAGCGGTTCAGCACTGCGACTGATCCAACCAAAAAAGTCACACTGGGGCTGTGGCTCTGCAGATGGGGAGGAAAGGTACCAAGGGGCCAGGAGGCCATCTCTTGGTTGCACATGTGTCTGGACAGGTCTTGGCTACAGCCCACAGGGGTCTTGGGTGGGCTCAGTGGGAGGCGATGGTCAGAGAAGACTGGAGTGGCCTCTGGCCTCTGGTGCCCTATCCCACCATGCCCAAGTGGCTGGAGGCCCTCACCGCTCCCCAGTGCTTTCCATCTCAGGGCCCCTGGTCCTTTCACGGCTCCCTCCCTGCAGCCCCAGCATGCAGCAGATATGAGGCCTCCATACCGTGTCTACTGCCCATCTCACTGCCTCACTACCCTGGCTCAGCCCTGCAGGTCCCGCTCTAATCCCCACCCAACTTCCCTCCTCCTCCAAGCCAGCAGCATTCAGCTCCTGCCTTTGTGGGTGCCTGCTCCCCTTCCAGCACCCACCAAACCCACACCCCCAAAGCCTTGTCCAGGGCTCCCCCTCCTCCAGGCAGTCCCCAGAGCTGAGCACTGGTTCCTCTGGAGTCCCATGGCAGTGGCAACACTGGCCTGACTTTATAGAAATGTGGCGTGTATGCTCCTCTTCTGTCCCTGAACAGTAGTTCTCTCTCAGGGTCCCAAGGTTCATCCCCCACTTCTCCAGCAGTGCACCCAGCCTTGGACTGAGCCCAGCCTTGGGACCAAGGCTCAAGGGGTTAGGATGACCATGGGGAAGAGGGAGAGATACTGTGCTGAGGACCAACAGGTGACCCAGAGCTTCATGTGCACAGCCTGGCTCCTAAGCCCTCCCCTCCCCCAGCTCCACCATCACGGAGAGGGACAGGTGGCAGGGAGCAGAGGCTGGCTCCTAGCTGGGAGCTTGCCGGCCAGCACCCCTCTACAATTTCCATAAACCAATTATCACTGATCATCTCTGGAGATTGAAGCCCTGCTTGTCAACAATCCAGTCTGGGTGGTGGAGGGGTGAGGAGCAGGGTGGCCCCACTGCTCCTCAGCAGGCATTACAACCCTGCACCATCACCCCGTTGCCATGGGAACGCGCTGCTGGGAGCCTAGGCGACAACTAATCAGGTGGGGGTGTGGAGCATGGGGCAAGCCCCAGTCTGTCTGCACATCCCTGTGGCATGTGGGATGGGGTGGGGGTGGGAGGCAGAGCGCAAAGCTGAGAACCAGGCCTGGTCCAGGCTGCAGACTGTGTCCCAGGGCCACCAGCTCCAGGTGGTGCTAATGAGATGCAAATTAGAGGAGGGAGGGCTTCCAAGAGGGGCCCAGCTGTCGGGACCTGAGGGAGGTTTTTAGGGCTCTCCCGCTCCAGGCAGGTGGGAACCCCCGAGTGAAGACAGGACCTCCACAGCCTCCAAGCACAGGAAAAGAAGTTGATGCTCTCTGTTTTGTTACAACGCAGTGACAAAGCAGCCACCAAGGAGGAGAAAGTCCAGTCAAGCTTTCACTTTCGTAATGAATATATCAATGCTTTTTATTTATTCTTTTTTTTTTGGCAGAACCGGGGATTGAACTCAGGCCATTGCGCTTGCCAGGGAAGCGCTTATTCCACTGAGCCATCTCCCCGGCCCCATCAATGCTTTTTTAAAACACAAAAATACTTAAACATAAAATCTGAAACTGTCAAACTCCTAGAAGAAAATGGGGTGGGAAAAGTTCCTTACTTTGGTCTTGGCAATGATTTCTTCGGGTTGGACGCCTGAAGTACAAGCCTAAAAATGAGAATTAAAAAGTAGAGCTACAGGTAGAAAGGTCTACAGAGCAGGGACAACATTAAATCAAGTGGAAAAACAACTTGGGGGGAAGATACACGCAAATCATGAGAAGAGGTATGTGGAGCTAAATAAGGAGTTAAAATATAGGCCAGACCTGCACAACTCAGTGGCAGAAAAACCTGGTTAAGAAATGGGCAAAGGAACTTGAGTAGATTATTTTTCCAAACAAGATAGAAATGGCGCCAGGGAGATAGCTCAGCGGCATAAGCGCCTGCCTGGAAAGGGCAAGGTCCTGAGTTTGATCCCTGGTACCACATAAAAAACACAAACAAAAGAGAAATGACTGAGGTACATGAAAAGCCCCTCACATGGGCTGGGGAGATAGCTGAATGGTTTACACACCTGCCTGACAAGAATAAGATTGTGAGCTCGATCCCCTGCATAGAAAGAAAGAAAAGAAAAGAAAAGACTGGCCAAATAGTTCGGCAGATTAAAGTGCCTGCTTAGGCAGACACAGGGGCCAGGAGTTCGATTCCCTGGCCTGCCATGCTGGCCCTGCCCCAGGGTCATGCTGAGATGACAACTGAAACTGGGAAACTGGGTGTGGTGGTGCACGCACCTGTAATCCCAGCGCTTGGGAGGCTGTAAACAGGAGGATTACTATGAGTCTGATCTATGTAGTGAGACCCTGTACACCCTGTCCTAAATACAAAAAAGGAAGGAAGGAAGGAAGGAAGGAAGGAAGGAAGGAAGGAAGGAAGGAAAAAGAAAGAAAGAAGAAAGAAAGAAAGAAAGAAAGAAAGAAAGAAAGAAAGAAAGAAAGAAAGAAAGAAAGAAAAAAGCAAGCAAGCAAGGAGAAAGAAAGGCCACTCACGTCACTCAGCATCAAAGAGAAGCAAGTGAAAACTAGGAAGCAAGAACACCGCACACCTGAAAGGAGGGCTGGTATCAAAACAGTCGCAGCAATTGTTGGTTTGTTGGCAAGGGTCTGGGTAAAGGGAATCCTGCCTGCTGCCTCTGCTATCCGGGGTGTAGACGGTACAGGCGTGCTGCAAAATGGGATGAGGGTTTCTCAAAAAGCTAAAACTGCTATACAATCCCCTCCATCCCATATTTGGACATAGAGCCAAATGAAATGAAATAGTGTCTTGAGGACTCTCTGCCTCCCTGTGTTCACTACAGGATTATTCACAAAAGCCAAGGTATGGAATTGCCTGGCCTCCACCCATCTGCCAGTGAGATGTAGATGATACAGATTTAGAGATATAAATATACAGATACAGACATAGATATGTAGGTATATAGAGATAGAGATAGAGACAGAGAGACACAGATATGTGTATGTAGACATATAGAGATAGAGACAGAGCATTAGCAATATAGAAATAGAGACAGAGATGTACACATAAAGATTTCAGCCACAAAAAAAAAAAAAAAAGTCTTAGCTGGGCATGATTGCAAGTGTACATAACCCTGTAACTCTGGGAGGCTGAGGCAGGAGGACTGAAAGTTTAAGCCTAGGCTGGGTCATTCAGTGAGACCCTGTCTCTAAATAAACAAATAAACAAATGAACTGACTATGTAGCTCAGCTGATGCTAAGGGCCTAGGTTGAATTCCCAGTGCCACAAAAATAAATAAATTAAATAAATAACTAAATAAATAATTTTGCCATTTGTGACAACATGCATGGAAGACATTCTGTTCCATGAAATAAGCCAGACCCAAAAAGACAAAATTAGTGCACTTGGGCCCAATGAGACAGCTCAGTGGACTAAAGTGCCCGCTTCGGCAAGCACAGGGTGCGCTGAGCTGGCCAGAGTCGGGGCGTGGTGGCGCATACCTGTAATCTCAGTGCTGGGGAGGCTGAAAGCAGAAGGATCACTACGAGCCCAAGCTGTGTAGTGAAAGCCTGCAACAACCAAATACATTTAAATAAAAAAAAAAAAAAAAAAAACAGTGGGCCAGCCATGCCTCCCCCACCCCCAGGGCGCACTGAGATGTTGATTGAGACTGGGCGTGTGCCTGTAATCCCAGCTCTTGGGAGGCTGTAGACAGGAGAATCACTGAGTCCAATCTAGTAGTGAGACCCTGAACACCCCGTAAGCTTTCCCTAAAATACAGGAAAATAAATAAAATAAAATAATGCACAATCTCACTTAATGTGTGATAGTCGTTGAATCCATAGGAGTGGAGAGGAGAGGGGTAGGGCTGGAGGATGAGGAAATAAGGAGAGATTTGTCAAAGGGTGTGAATTTCCAGGGAAACAAACGAGTAAATTCAGGGATTCTCATGTGCAGCATGGTGACTGTAGCTGATAAAACTGCTGCACAGGTGGGATTTGGTGAGGGTTAGCCTACGGGTCTCCTCTGACACACACAGAAAGGATAACTGTTAGAGCGATGGTTGTGTTCACTACCCTGATCATGGGGTAATCCACATTAGATACGGTGTGCATTTGAAAATATAAATGCCAGTCATGCTTCAGTGGAGCTGGGGGGGAAGGTACAACGTTTTGTGGTCTCTCTAAGCATTTCCCCGCCTTTCAGTGGCCTTGCTTTCTAATTTTTTTTTTTTTTTAATGGAACCAGGGATTGAGCTCAGGCCCTTGTACTTGCCAGGGAAACACTTATTCCACTGAGCAATCTCCCTGGACCCCTGCTTTCTGGTGCTCTATGCATAGTTTCCTGGTTTGGCTTCCTGCTCTCTGCCAGCCTGTGTTGTCCCAGCCTGAGAAGGGCTTTGCCACCTCCCTGGCAGGTGGACCAACAGTTAGGGTGCTGGGAGGGAGTGAAGTCCAGGAGGACAGTGCCCCAAAGCCTTTCATGCCATCAGTGCATGAGCAGAGACGGGAGAGCTGCAGGCCCAAAGCTGGGGCCTGAGGTGTAGCCACCCCACCCCTCTGTGGCACTGGTCTGGGTTTGCGTGGTCACAGGGCGCCTCCTCTAGTTATACAGCAGCCCTGGGCACAACCTTAACCCTGCCTGTGTCTGTCCGCTGTTCTGCATCCGCTCCAACCCCACTTCTCCATGCGAACAACTTTCTCTGGGCTTCCAGTGGCCACAGTGCTCACTGGTGTGCTGCTGGCACTGCGCCCCACGGTATCGCCCAGTGGCCTTGCCCCTGTGCCACTCAGTCTCTTCTCCTTGCTTCCCTCCCC